TCACTATGTCGATTTCGCTGTGTTCAAATTAAAATTGAAGAACTACAGGACCGTTATCTATATTCTAATATATAACAAATCGAACTTATGAAAAAGAGCTTGAAAAAATGTGTAAATAAAAATAATAATAAAATTTCGCGAAATTCCATGAATGATCTTTGCACATGGTGGTCCTTAGGTTTTGAGCATCAAAATTTTGCAATAGTACATAATAGTTAGGACCAGAAAATTTCATCAAGGACCACCAGGGAAAATATTTTGAGAACTTTGCGATAACTCTGCCTTATACAAAATAAATCAGTTTGGTTACTAAAAAAATTTGGTACACAACATGTCCTTTTCGATTATATAACAGACAAACATTGACAAATTATTGTGTACAGTTTAAGATTATTCCTGAAAATCAAACGGTCGGAGCATTAAGTCGGATTTGTTTAGAAAAATTATGTTCGGAAAGCATAAAGAAATAAAATGCTTCGCCGAGCGCAGCCTGATACGACCGCAAGGGCTGTATAGCCAGTCAATGTCGTTAAAAACTTCCATTTGTTGTGCAATTACCCCTATAATTCAAATCCAGCCTTGTTTTTGTGGTATGGTACCTTGCATTACAGTTTCAGAGAGATCCATACACTTAAACACAAGTTATTGTCTGGAAACTAGAAAAATGCTTGTTTTTGGCCCCTCCTTTTTGGCCCCTAATTCCTGAAGGTTTAGGGCAATTAGCCCCGACTCAAACCCAGCCTTCCCTTTGCGATATGGAACCTTGTGGTACAATATCAGAAAGATCCACACATTTACACAAGTTATTGTCCGGAAACAACAAAAATTATTGTTTTTGGCCCCTTTTTGGCCCTTAATTTCTAAACTGTTGGTACTATAACCCCCAAAATCAATCCCAAGCTTTCTTTTGTTGTATTTAACCTTCCGGTAAAATTTCATAGAGATCCATTCACTTAAACTAAAGTTATTGTCTTGAAACCAAATGTGTCTTCGGACGACGCCGACGCCGACGACCCGACGACGACGACGACGACGACGACTTTATACCAATATACGACTCAAAAAAAATTTTTGCGGTCGTATAAAAAATGTAACGATTACAGCGATTTCTTCCAACCAATTTTCTTTGTGTTTACACTTATTGTATAATTATATCAATGTCAAAACAGAGCACACTATTACAGTCGTGTCAACTGAATCAGTATTGACGTATCTTATTTTCTGTAATAAATCATCGTAAATTTCATTTGTCATCCAATTTTTTTTTAAATCTGCTACATTCGACAGCAAATTGAACTTTTGTTTTATTGCTTCTTCTATAGAATATCTCCAGACGAGGTCCAGTTTAATTTTTTTTTACTCTTCAACAAAAGACATTCCAGAGATGTACATAAGAGACCAATAAAACACACCCCTTTGAATTTATTTGATTTGATTTTCTGTGTTTTAACGCCACTTTTAAGCACCGCTTTTGGGCTATTTCTTGGCGGCCAGCATTTATTGGAGGAGGAAGCCCGGGTGCCCGGAGAAAACCACCGACCTTCGATAGGAAAACTGACAATCCTAGTCAATTAAGATTGGAGTCGAGTGCACCCGCACGAGCGGGGTTCGAACTCACAACCTCAGTGTTGACTGGCTAGTGATTACAGTAGTAACAATTTAGACCACTCGGCCACCGAGGCCCCCACGCCCCCTTGGTGCTTCGTACCTTCTGTGCAGATATCTTATGTTACAAAGATTCCGCCTGTTATATGTCCATTGTCCTAGATCTCATTTTCATGGTTTTTATTGCTGCTTGATAAAATTACAATCACATTTCTTAATTATTATGAGTCATAGGATAATTTTATTTATTATACTTCACGTTAAAACGCCATATTTTGATTGGCTAATACGAGGGTGTTAATTTACTCTATTACCCTTCATGGAGACGCTTGATCAAGTGTGCGCTTTATTAAATACGACTCTATCCTATGGCAAATACTCTATTACCCTTCACGGAGACGCTTGATCAAGTGTGTGCTTTATTAAATACGACTCTATCCTATGGCAAATACTCTATTACCCTTCACGGAGACGCTTGATCAAGTGTGCGCTTTATTAAATACGGATGGTTGTTATGTACAAGACGTCATAGTTTATTACTTTGAATTTGAAATTTAATCGACAGTAATAACAGAACATTCAGTATAATAAATTAAATAACACATATCTGAGAGGGTGATAGAGCAGATTGTTACCCCTTGAAAAGACATTGTCAACTCTGGCTTCGCCTCAGTTGACAATGTTTTCTCGGGGTAACAATCTGCTCTACCACCCTCTCAGCTATGTGTTATTTATATATTGGTATCTGGGGTCCTTTCAACGTCTACAATTCCGTCAGGTAAGGTTCAACTGACCTCGACCTCATTCCGTCAGTTAATGATCAAGGTTAAAGTTACGTGGCCAAGTCTGTATCTCAGATACTATAAGTAATAGGTCATTTTTTTTTTATGTATGGAATATCAGACTGGCATGTTTCATCTGACCTTGGCCTAAATTTCATTGTTTTTTCTGGTTTGGTCTATTTCTCGGATACTTTAAGCAATGGGGTCCTTCTATTTTGTGTATGGAAAATTTGAAAGGTGTACATGTCTTTCTGGCAGGTTTCATCTAACCTTGATCTTAATTTCATAGTTCATTGGCCAATGATCAGTTTTCTTAATTATGTCAGTTTATCGATACTATAAGCGATAGGACTACTATATTTGTTGTATGGGATAATTTCAAGGTGTACATGTCTGTCTGACATGGTTCATCTGACCGTGACCTCATTTTCTTAAAACATTGATAATGTTAAGTTAATATGATACTTGTATTGAAATCTTTATAATACAGAGTTTCAACGGTAATTGAATGATAAATAAAACCGACGAGACATTTCAGGGTGTGCATTATTAATTAGCAGACCTTACAGTCTAGGGTCAAAGTTTTTAAAGCATCAATAGTCCGTTACAAACCAACAATGAGTTTCATGAAACGGTTACTGTTACTTCTTCATAGCCATTTTGAAAGTAATAGTATCCTGAGCAAATATTATTTCTAATTTGTTTACTTTATATGTTTTGTTTTACTGATAAACATGTTATGCTCATTGTTGATAGCCGTACGGTGACCTGTAGTTATTAATTTTTATGTCATTTGTTCTCTGGTGGAGAGTTGTCTCATTGGCAGTTATAGCACATCTTCTTATTTTTATATATAGACTTAAATGTTTTTTGTTCAACATTATTCTTTTTCACTGACAGCATTAGTCAAAGGCAAGACAACGGGTTATGCGTAACCATTAACATTTTTATCATATTTCTGAGAAATCTTATATCTAAGGTTAAGGGGAGGGGTACATTTACTGCCCTCAACCATTGAAACAATGTTATGCATAAATGCTAAAAATGTATACAAAAAAGCACAATTAAATACCGCACATTTTTTTTCAACAAATTTTACACCATACCCAGAGTGATCAGTTTCCATTTTATACAAACATATCTTCATTAATCATATATTGTCGTTTAAAATTAAGAAATGTGTGTCATAATTGCACATACAAATGGAAGATTTTGGCTTATTAAGTTCTAGATGTTTGATTGTTCATCTGTATGGCAATCTGGATTTTTGTGAAAAATGGACAATTTTGAATAAAAATATTTTTTTACAGACAAAAAAAAAACACACGACTTTTTTTTTATTTCATGAATATATGAAATGTTGTCTTTCAAAATTTGTCAGTGACATATTATGGTATTGTTGGTCTTGGGAGATAGACAGAATTAAAATTTAGCGATTTTTAAAATTTTTTATTTTCGAATTTTAACATATTTTTAAATGGTTGCTATGGAAACAAACTATTAAGTAAATTCAAAATTTTAACGTTTTTGAATGGTTTGGGGTTTTGTTTAACAATGTAAAATGCTTATTGTTTGTATCGATTAACTTTATTTCAATGGTACTTTAAAATCCCTTATTTTTCAATTTTCAAAGGCTACTTTTGCACGTATTCAGGCAAAATGTTGTTAGGATGGTTTCCATGGCAACCAAGGTTCAAAAGAAAAAAAGGAAAATACGTGAAACTTATTTTCATACCATACCTTCTACACAAACAAAATTATAAAGATATTTGAAGAGGGGTCATGAATCGTCTATCAACAGATACCTGCATGATTCGTACAAAGACAGGTACTTTAAAAGTGTTAAGCTGAATTGGATAGAGACAATAAAAGTTACTGTTTAATCGGCTGTAGAAGTTTGTCTGAATTCGTTAAATATTTTGACACATTGCGATTCCTGATAGTGATACATTGGACATTCTATAAAAAGTTGTTTAAAACTAATTTTATTTAAGAAAAAAACAGATAGAAACTATCAAATCTGTCAAAATTGTCAAAATAGAAAATACGTTATAAGATAAGACATGACATTAGACAACCAATATACTTGGGAAGTTTCTGACTTTTGACAGACACATGAATATGTGGCGGGGTTAAACTAGTTTTTTAAGATCTCACCCCTCCCCCTTTCAATTTCCGCTGACCCGTACAGTGAAACAAACACGTTCTTAATGTGACCCTTGTATTTGAATTAGAAGTATCCTCATGTTTATATTTATGTTTTTAATTATCTATACTAGTATATACTAACAAAATTTCTCGGCAGTGGCTTTATAAGAATAAATTCAAAGTTCAATGCAAAATGCTTCAATACATCCTAACAATCAAAAAAGATAAAATTTCATGCATGATTACTTGTGAAATATTTAAAATTGTGGTTTTCTCGTTTATACCCTCCATTTAAATTTGTTATAACGTAAAAATCGATTGTTTGAATACATAACTATCACTGGGTATTTGACAGTTTAAACGGATTTACAACAAGTGTCATCTGTAAATATACATGTATAAACAGCAATCTAGACGTCTACTGTCCGTATGTACATGTATAATCCGATTTTAAAATATTAACAAAAATGTAGATGTGTTGTTTTTGGTTCATCAATACCTGTGTATGTTAAATAAGTCAGAGTTTTTATCAATACTAGAAGCATGTTGTTTAGAATTCTTGGATGAAAATTGTTTAGATAATTAACCTTGGAATATTAACGCCAATCGAAGTGAGATACAGAATTCAGGTGAGTAGTATTTAAAGTAAGTTTATATGTAAAGAATATGCGCACATATGACTATTGAAAGGTCACACTCAAGATAACTTGATGATGATGATGGTGATGTAACAATTATTTCCTAAACAGCTTTTTAAAGATTTCAAAGATCTTGATATAATTTTACGAGATTCAACATTTTAAAACATTATCCGTTCTACAATAATGATATTGATATTTTGTGGTTATTTAGCTACACTGTTTCATAATAGGTTGCGCTTACGTAAAGTAAATATTTACATTAATATACAGGCGATTGCTATAACATTCGGTATCTTTTAATTTAAACAACATTTATTATTGAAAAATAGAATAAATATAGGACAATTTTACATACGGTTTTCTTTTACATGTACTTCTCTCCGGGCACTCCGGCTTCAGGCTCCACCAATAAAAAACTGGCCGCTCTGAGATAGCCAACAGTGCTGAAAGACTTTAAAGTTGCGTTAAACACAAACCAATCAGTCAATCAATCAATCAATCTTTTACTTGTAGATATTATAAAACATGTCGGACGGTACAGAAATATTAAACAGAATTTATAATCCGAATCTTGCCCATGTGCTACATCCTGTTACTCTTCAGCATATGGCGAGAGAATGGCTGAAGGAAGACACCCCTAACTTTGATTATGGTGGGTTTGTGGTTGGAGAAAAGGAAGAAACAGCATTATTATTGATGAAGGGCGAGGGGGTTTTGGCAGGAGTACCGTTTTTTAATTCCGTCTTTAAGGAGTTGGAATGTACAGTTACATGGAACGAAGAAGAAGGAAACTTTATTGAACCAATTAAATGTGTTGCTACTGTGTTCGGCAAAGTCCGTCAACTTTTGCTCGGTGAGAGAGTAGCATTGAATTGTCTTTCAAGAGCAAGTGGTATTGCCACATTAGCTAGAAGATTACATAACGTAGCAGATAATGCTGGTTGGAAAGGTCAGATTGCAGGGACAAGGAAGACCACCCCTGGATTTAGACTTGTAGAAAAATATGCTCTTTTAGTGGGAGGAGTCTCCACACATAGATACGACCTTTCCTCCATGATAATGCTTAAAGACAACCATATATGGACTGCTGGCAGTATTAGTAAAGTATGTATTGTTTATAAAACAAAATACCTTTTAATTATTTTAGTAGGAAGAAGGTTTTCTGGTTTCCGGTCAAATACTTAAGTATTAGTCAATGGATCTCTGTGAAATTGTACCACAAGGTTCCATACCACACACAAAAGGTTTGGGTCGATTTTGTGGGTTGTGGCAATAATCGTTAAGAAACTAGAGGCCAAATAGGGGCCAAAAAACAAGACTTTTCTAATACTGGCTAAGCTGGTTATATCATAAATTATTTCTGAACTATATAAAGAAACAACAAATACTGATATGGCAGGAGATACACACCAAACAGGGTGTGTAAATTATTATATTTAGTTTGTATACAGATTTACTAAGTATTGCACAACAGCAAGAAATCTTCAAGGGAAATAAATACAAACTTTTTAACAAATTTCAATGAGGATTAATTTAAAGTCTTGAAATGTTTGAGGATTTTACCATGTATTACTATATTTTATATTTTTAAATAGGTCTACATTGAGGTCCAAAGGGTCCAAAATTAGACTTTGTTTAATTTCATCAAAAACTGAATTCTCGTGGTTCTATGATATGCTGAATCTAACTGTGCGTTCAGATTTTAAATTTTGGGCCCTGTTTTCAAATTAGTCCATATTAAGGTCCAAAGGGTCCAAAATTAAACTTTGTTTGAATACATGGTTTTTTTTATATGCTGAATCTAACCATGGAATTAGATTTTGGATATTGGACCATTAAGTAGATTAAATGTCCCATTTCAAATTTTTAAGTTATCTGACCACATTTATTCTGTGTCAGAAATCTATAATGTGTCAAATATTTAATCACTATCCAAATTCAGAGCTGTATCAAGCTTGAATATTGTGTCCATACTTGCCCCAACTGTTCAGAGTTCGACCTCTGCGGTCGTATCCAGCTGCTTCAGGCGGAGCGCATTTTTTTATCAGTTGTTAATGGCTTTGAACTAGCTTTCAGCAACTTTGTGTCTTCTGTGTCTTTGTTAAGTTTTTTTTTGCGTTGTATCGATCTGATGAGTTCGGCCATCTTCAACTGATTTTCATAGTTTGTTCTTATGTTGTACTGTTACACCACTGACCCAGGTTAGGGAGAGGGTTTGGCACCAGCAAACATGTTTAACCCCGTACCATTCTGTCTGTGTCTGTCCCAAGTCAGGAGCCTGTAATTCAGTGGTTGTTGTTTGTTGCTGTATATCATATTTGTTTTTCGTTTATTGTTTTGTACCAGGCCGTTAGTTTTCTCGTTTGAATCGTTTTACATTGGTCATTTCGGTGCCTTTTATAGCTTGCTATGCGGTATTAGTTTTTCTCATTTTGAAGGCGGTATGGTGACCTATAGTTGTTAACTGCTACATCATTTTTGTTCTTGGTGGAGAGCAAGCATACCACATCTTATTTTTATGTTTATTAACTGTGTATATCGGTCACTTAATTTCAAAAAATGAATGCATTTAATAGTTTTTGGGACACAAAACTCCATCCCGGTCCGATACCATTAGTAAAATTGAGAATGGAAATGGGGAATGTGTCAAAGAGACAACAACCCGACCATAGAACAGACAACAGCAGAAGGTCACTAACAGGTCTTCAATGCAGCGAGAAATTCCCGCACCCGGAGGCGTCCTTCAGCTGGCCCCTAAACAAATATATATACTATTTCAGTGATAATGAACGCCATACTGAACTCCAAATTGTACACAAGAAACTAAAATTAAAAATAATACAAGACTAACAAAGGCTAGAGGCTCCTGACTTGGGATAGGCGCAAAAATGCAAGTAGCACTTTATGATAAAATACCCTTCTTAATCGAAAGGCAAAACAAGTTTAAAAGCAGAGGATTGAGTCTTTGGTTAGCCTAAATATTAATTTATTTGTATTTGTAATCGAAAAATTCCATTCATATTTGAACCGCAATCAACACAATTTACTAGTACAGAAACACTTTAAATATAATAGATTTGAAATTATCCATTTAATTTCTTTCACATTGTCAATATTGGTTTTCAGTTAATAGTGAATTATAAAGTGGTTAAAAGTTAATTTAAAATGATATATGGCGAAAGTTCATTATAAATTTTCACGTATGTGTCCCGTTTCATTCTTAACGTGCACATTTTCTGTAACAATTTATTGACTTTCGGGAATATTAAATATAGCTTTATTGAAATACGTTTGGATATAATGATCAGACTACGTGTATATTGATCAGACTACGTGAGGTCAAATTAAAAACATTCTTCAAGTACTGATTGTTGGGTTGTTGTCTTATAGTTAAACATTTCTGATACCATCTGGAAAAATGGACGGTCCATAAAGTACCACTTCAAATACTGATTGGAACATTTTGTGCGTTTGTTAAATATGAAAAAATAAGGTCAATTTAACATAGATTGTGGCATATTTTTTTTATTTTTTTGTTTTTTGTTTAAGGATTTTCTAATTCTTCTAAACACCTGGTAGAATAAGAAATGTAGCATTTAATATCACAACAACTTATATATTCTTGTCACTGGTAACGTGTAGTAGACAAGTAGTTATTCTCAACACGAACCTTAGATTTACACCCCTATCAGACTGAACGTGTGTCTGTATTTATTCATCCTTATACATGTATACACGAGCGCTCTCTCGGCAAGGTTATTTATACTGGTTTAACCTAGGTACCATTGCTGCGTACTTTTGAGAAAAACGTGACTTAATATTCCACCTCGATCGCATTTAAATTTGTGTTTCTCCTCAATTCTTTGTAATAAAGTATAACAGCAGTACTGAACTCCAAGGTAAATTTAAAGAGGGGAAGTCCATAATAACTTACAAAATCAAACGTTATCAACCAACTGGAAAACAAATGTCATATTCCAGACTTGGTACAGGCATTTTCCGAAGCAAATGATGGGTAAATGTAAAGTGTACATATTGTGTCTTCCGTATAAAAAGTTGTTGCTTCGATTTTTAGCTTTCCGTTGATTAATAAGTATAGAAATAGAAAAATAAAAAGATGTGATATGTTTGCCAATGAGACAACTATCCCCCAGAGACCAAATGACGTAGCTGTAAAAAAAACTATTGGTCACCGTACGGCCTTCAACAATAAGCAAAACCCATACCGTATAGTAAAATATGCTTGCTGTGTAAAGAAGCTATCAACTTTTTCATTAACGAATTCAATTACAAATTGGAGTAAAACAGCTAAAAATAATTTCATCTAGAGCTGTAATAAAAAAAGAACTTAAAACATGAATCCCAAGAAATTGTGGCTGCTTATTTTTGGACATTGGTAACAAATCGTAATGTGTTTACTAGTCCTTTAAGGAATTTGTTGTTAAAGGTTGATGTTTAATAGTCTGTTAAAAATACAACTTTTCTTTTGTTGAAGACCGCATGTTGCCGTCGTGTCTTTTAATTCTGTTTTGTTTTTTTTGTCGTTGGGCTGTTGTCTCATTAACATATATACCACGCATGTTTTTTATTCATACGTATACGCTAATAACTGGCCAACCAATAACAAATTGTATTCTAAAACCTTTCACGACTAGTTTAGGTAGAATGTACATGAGATATTTTTTTTATCCTGAAACTTACTCTACTATCTACATTTAGTGATGATCTAAATATCAAAGCAACGTCATTTGGACATGAGATCTTTAGATAAGAGTAAATTTTGCATTGTTTTATTGTGTCGTTGGATTGCTGTCTTTTTGACATATATCACACATCTTCTTTCATTTAATCATATATAATAAAATCTTGCAAAAAATTGTATACGATAATACCCATATATTTCCGCTAGGATGAATTTAGGGGTCATTTGATCCAATCCTAACAGTATCAGTTCAAGTCACTGACCTTATTCTTACATACTTTTCGGCTTCTCCGTGTACTTAAAGAGTACGATCTTTACTATGATTTAAAGGTCCATGTTAATCATCTTTTTGTTGACTTACAAAGAGAGAGAAGAAACCTACAAAACCAGTCCATAAATGAAAACATCAGTTGCTCGAAAGGTCAATGTATCATATATACAGTTATGTATAACTGATCATGGTTTCTTTTCGGTATTGTAACGATATTAATGGTCCGCTGAAGTCAAATAAGAACTAACACATGTTATGATGATGAAGGCCACAGATGTGACAGTTTATGTTTCAAAATCAAACATATCAAAAGATACATGTATAAAATTTGCATACACTACAATTATAATTACCAATTGTGAATTTAAATATACAATACTTTCATTACAATCTGAACCAATAAGCATATTATGTAATAAGTGAAAAGACAAATGTCATCAATTATTAAAATTAAAATTCTTGAAAAGTCAATCAATTTCGAGCTATCTCCCCTTGACTATAAATTTGTTAATAATAGTGTAACATCTCAACTTTTGGGAGCAGATACCGCCATGACGCAAAAAGCTCTTTTGGAGCTGGAAACGCTGCCCTAAAGTAAACCTGCACCAACCATCATCCTACAAATGCAAATGATAAAACTTACAATTGTACGAACCGTTAATAAAAAATTGAAAAGTTATACAACAAATGTATATACTTAAGATACACGATTTACAGACATAGTGTTCAACAACTGTTTCTTATTGATTTAACTGAAATAGATGAAATGATGACAAAATGTACGGATATTGAGTCCCACACATGCCCTTTATCCTAAAAGAAACAATTTACCGACATTGTGTCCCCATATGTATCTCTTGATGCAAATAAATCTTATACTAAAATGACACAATTTACAGACATTGTGTCCTACCAATGTATCTACTTGATACAAACCAATCATATACTAAAAGACACAATTTATAGACATTGTGTCCCCATATGTATCTCTTGATGCAAACAAATCCTATACTAAAAAGACACAATTTACAGACATTGTGTCCTACCAATGTATCTACTTGATACGAACCAATCATATACTAAAAAGACACAATTTACAGACATTGTGTCAACCAAATGTTTTTACTTGATGCAATAACAGACCAAATATGTTTACTAACGACTGAATTCTTACAACAACGACATACATTCAATAATTGTATTAACACCTATTTTTCCCGTCAAATAACTGTATTTCCTTATATATTGTTATTAGTTTACTGCTTAATATTACTAAATGCAAATGGGAGATTTTAAGATTCCAGTCCTAGCAAGCTGGTTTCTGCGAATTTCTCTTCAGTAATATTTGGTCAATTCAATTGTAAACGGATGAAATCTGGGTTTTAGGTTGTCCTTGTATCAGCTTAAATGAGCGTTTCCCAATTGTCCATTGTTTCCATTAAACATGAACTGTTATCTGTATGCGATATGCAACGAGCTGTGACCCACAAGCCGTGTACAAAATATAGAATAATAACCGGCAGTAATCTATTCACAAAATATATCATATCATGATCAGTTGTAATTAAGACAGATAAACATGACTAAAGGTTAGAAATTTGACCTGATTGTCTAATATACAATTTGAATGCATCAGATTTCTATCTACATAAATGTTCTTATTCTGTAGTTAGTCCCCACTCCGGTTTTATCATGTATATCTATTATATAGTCATTTTATAAAATTTACTGTTTGCAAAATTATAAATTATTCTAAATAATAAGGATGTTCTTGTCCCAGCAGAAAACCCTGGCCGTGTTAGGCGCAACTTTTTGGAAGTTTTGGTCCTCGGTGCTCTTCGGCTTTGTACTTGTTTTGGCTTTCAAGCTTTTTTTCATCTGGGCGTCACTCGATGGTCTTGTGTGGACGAGACGCACGTCTGGCGTATTGAATTTTAAGCCTAGTACCTTTTGTTAGCTATTATTCGTGTGTTTCTTTGTCCTATATGTCCTCCCATTTATTTGTATTGTGGTCCTGTCATGTGATGTTGTCGTTTTGGTGTTGTGTTTGACTTTGTCATTAAAGCGGGAGGTCTGGCATGCCACAAAACCAGGTTCAACCCACCATTTTTTTCTTAAAATGTCCTGTACCAAGTCAGGAAAATGGCAATTGTTATATTATAATTCGTTTCTGTGTGTGTTACATTTTTAATGTTTTGTTTTTGTTGTGTCGTTGTTCTCCTCTTATATTTTATGCGTTTCCCTCAGTTTTAGTTTGTAACCCGGATTTGTTTTTATCTCTATCGATTTATGAGTTTCGAATAGCGGTATACTACTGTTGCCTTTATTTCTTATAGTTTCGGTGGACAATCCTTTCGCACTTGCATCGGTAGCGAAGCCTATTCTGAAACCATGAGGTTTGTAATATGTTCTGCTGAGCCCACAAAAGTTCAAAACACCATTCAATGCATGTTGAAATTATTGTCTAAAAACAGCTTCTCCACTGGAGTTGAGTGATAGTGTACCGCCTTTGTTTGTTCTCAAAGTTAAGTAACTTGTAAGTGTCGTTACTGCACAAATATTGTCATTTTTATTCTTAGCTATTTCTAAATGGAATTGTTTTCCATTAGAATATTTGAAGTCCATGAAATGGATAACTAATTTTTCGTGTAACACAGCAGCTTGACTAAAACTAATAACATGATTGTAATTTTTGTTGTTGACTGTCATCTCCCCAATTCTTAAAAGAGCATGGTATGCTAGGGTGAACATTGCTTTGAATAAAATTTGATCATACCTACGGTATTAGATATTGTCAGTTTTAATGCATTTATTAATTGACTCAAAATCGTACTAGTGATTGGAAGTGTCATATCTTGATTTCTTCCCTTATGCACTGATTTCAGCACCTTATCAATAATGAATGAATCGGTTGGATCAGGCCAATTATTAACTTTGTGTGTAAAACCAATTGCTGATATGTATGTTGAGATAGAACTTGATGCAAGATCTTTGTTTTTCAAATGTGCTATAAATAATATGAGATCTGAACTAGTAAGTGGTAACTGAAATCTAATGCCATATTCTTCAGCAAAACACTTATAGTGGCAGTCAGATAAGATGTTGTTAAAAATTTGATTTAAGGGTTTCTGTATCTTGGCAAATCTGGTAGATTGGGAACTGGTTTTGGAACAGTGTCTGCCCATGATGCTAACCGATGAAATTTCTGTACCTGTTGACGAGAAAGTGCATCTGCCAATACATTTTTTGAACCATATATGTGTTTTGCCTTAAAGTTCACATTGCTTCTCAAGCAGTGTAGAACTAGTCTCCTTATTAGGAACATAATTAACGCATCTTTAGATGTTTGTTTATTAATTACAGCCACTAAAGCTATATTGTCTGTATGCAAATTTATGCACTGGTTTTCGAATTGGTGGCCCCATATTTCAACTGCCAAAACTATGGGATATAGCTCTAAAAACTTAAGGCAATATTTTGTTTTTTGCCATTTTGTGTCCCATTCGCCTGAGAACCAATGTGAACCAAACAAACAAAAAAATAACCATAATCGTATGTACCAGAGGCATCTGTAAACAAATGTAGCTGATCAGATGTTAACCAACGGTCTGATAAAATCAATGACTTCCCATTAAAATTCTTCAAAAAATGTTGCCATGTATTTAGATCTTGCCTAACTGATGTTGTCATACGTATTCTATGAAAGGATTTTTTTACCCTAATTGTTAAGTCTATTAGTCTTCTCAGGAATGCCCTTCCTGGTATGACAACTGCACAAGCAAAGTTGAGTGTACCAATGATAGATTGGAGTTCCCTCAATGTAAAAATTTCTTTTTGTAACACTACGGTTATAAGATCGTGACATTTTGCAAGCATATCGATGGGAAGTCTAACTTCCATCAACCTAGTGTCTGTTTCGTAACCAACAAAACTCATGACCTGCGATGGCTGGAACGTTTTTTTCCTTTGAAATTGGTATACCCATATCATTACAAATTGCAAGAAAACGTTCTATTTTTTTCTTACATCCATCTTTTGTCAACTATCATGAAATCATCTAAAATATGCACAATGTTTGGAATCAGTATTTTATTTTTGGCGATCCATTCAAGTGGTGTGCTAAAATTCTCAAACATTTTACGACTTGAACTACAACCCATGTGCAGATTTTTATCGTAATAGTATTTTCCATCCCACATGAAACCAAACAGTTTATATTGTGATTCTTTTATGTTTATGATTCAAAATGCACTGGATATGTCAGTTTTTGCCCATAAACTTTTTCTTCCTACGGTCTTAATCAGTTCTATTACATCTTGAATGGAAGCATACTGTACGCTGCATTTGTCTTGTGTTATGTTGTCATTAGTTGATGATCCTTCAGGGAAAGATAAGTGGTGGATCATTCTATATGTCCAAGGCAGTTTCTTTTCTGCTATGCCAAGAGGGGATAATTGCATTTCTGTAAAAGGTTTTGAATCAAAAGGGCCAATAAATCTATTTGCACTAATTTCATTTTGAATTTTTTGTCTAACAATATCGGGTTTAGTCTTTGCTGATAAGTTATCAACTGTATTATGATGAACAGAACCTCTGAATCCCACGTCGAACCCATATTTGAACCCCTTAACTAAGTAATTGTACATTTTAATATTATATTCTTTTAATCAATATGCAAGCCTGTCAACCTTAACTGTAGTATTGCCATTAGAATTATAGTTAACTTAATTTTCTGGTGGGGACAGTTTTTTCTGTCCTTGGGGAAGAGGTGTCGTCTCTGTTACTAGATAGGGAGGGTATTCTGTTTTCACCTCGAAAGGGCTGGTTATTCCCGCCTTGTATCTTTTTGAGTTATTACTGGTTTGTGTGAACATATAAGGAAGCCGAACTGGTTTTTTGAGTAGTACCTCGTCAACATTTCTCTCGATTCCTTTTGTCTGTTGAGCTTGGGTTTGAGAAGTATTGCGGATTTTGTCTGTTTGCTATATTTTATCTGTAGATTTTAAGGAGCTTAAAATGTTATTGTCTATAGTTTAAGTTAACTATGTTGTAAGTTTATATCTGCCTATCAGATGATTGCGATCCACGATTGCGTTTTTTATGTGATACGAAATAAGGGAATAGTTATATTTTTCTTATGAAAAGAAACATTTGACTTCGATTTACACTATTCTTAAAACGAATGTCAATTATGAGTAAGAGGCATCTGTAAGATGTTCGAAACTCGTAAATCAATTTTGGTACATCAGAATAAGACCTCAGATTGTTTTATTTTCAACCATAGAAATCTCAGCATTAGGTCGGGTCTGTTTTTGGATTTGTTTTGTGTCGAGTCAAGATTTAAAACCTTCAATCCAGCCACCCAGCCAGGATAAAACAGAAATACTCATATATTAGACTAAACACGCATACAGCTTGGTGCCAATTTTTTACCTTAAATAACTCTTGTTCAATATTTTTTCTTGCATTTTGCATGGACATATATAATGTCGGATTCAGTTAATGAAAACATTTTACGAATCTGAATTTCAAAAGTAATAAATATGTCCGGGTGAGGCGACAGATTTATTATAAAGCAATTATGTACGGGTTCTCAAAACATAATATATGAAAACGAATGACATTTCAGGCAGTAAAAGATGTCAAAACAATTGGTGGATTTTCTACAAAAGTGGAGGTAGAATGTCGGAGTGTGGAAGATGCAGAAGAGGCAGCACGTGCCGGTAGTGACGTAGTTATGTTGGACAATTTTAAACCCGAGGTATGACCAAAAAAAATACACTGATATGTTAACAACAAATAAATGAATTATAAGTAACAAATGATAAATGGTATTGTAACTTTTGTGTGCACAAATTACACTCATAAGAGGGCCAAAGGCATAATAACAATTACAATTACATGTAACAACAATATAATCATGACATTTACATAAGAATAAAATAAAATATTGGACACACAATACAACAAATGACCTCAATTTCCCCCTGTCCTTATTTACATTGACTGTTTAATAAAGGAGCCTCAAGATTGCTCTTGCTGGCTACTAGTTGGATTTTAGAATATATTTCATTTTATTATCAGAAAATCTTGGATTGGGTTTTTAAATCGTTAAGAAAGACATGTTTTAAATCACAATTTATTTAAATAATGAAAAGAAATGGGATTCATAATCCAGAACTTTGCACTTAATACACAGTCCTTGAGGGCGTGGAATATTTTCATATCTTCCAGTTTCAATAGCGAAATCACGAATTCTAAAGTTTTTCTTGTATCAAGATTAGGGTGTGTCAAATTAAATTCTTGTTTATATTTAGTTTTTATAAATGAGTTTACTATTTTGATCAAGAGGTATATCTTATTGTCATATATTTCTTTATGACTTCGCTCAAGTTAATCTTTATAGTATTTTTTACTAAGAGATTCTTACAGGCTCTGTGTTTGTTTTTAGATTCATCTGTCGGTTTGGTAATATTAATGTCGGACCTAATATTATTTACATACGGGTAACATGAGTATATACTTTGATCATAAAGTGACTTTGAAAGAGAATTAATATAAATAAAGCAGATGAGTTTTCACTCAAAAGTCGGTCTTCATACAAAAAAGAGTGTGTGGCAATAACACATTAATTATGTTCTAATTCATAACTTCAAGCGAACATAAATTATTTACAAAATAAACTCAACACCTTTGTATGGGATCAGCTCGCCTGACAGTGTGCAGAAAAGCTTTAATTTTATTAAAGACAAATGCAAAATACTAAATGTTCATCTGTTACTGTCTGCCTAGGCCGCTGCAGGTAACAAACACAAAAAAAAACAATCTACAAAAATAAAAAAAAAATCATTATGTACGCAAATACATATTATGAATCAAATTAAAGATTCTGTTCTTACACACATTATTATTCACAATATTCAAAAATAACACAAGAAAAATACATTAAGTCGGGTAGGAGGTTGGGAAACTTTACTTCACCAAAAGCGAACCTCGAATGACAATATCTTAAATTCACAAAAACGCCAAAAGTATAGCACGAAATATTTGAATTGACCTTATTCAAATATTGTGATCAGTTCTAACTCGACCAATGAAAAACATTTAACCTATTATATACTTTCAACACGTGTATAGTTATAAACAAATACACGTGGTAATGTACGTTTACATACCGGTGTACATAACTTTAATAAATATATATAAGGACATGTTGTGCGCACTATAATTGATATTACTTGTACTACTAGTACTGCTTCTGGTTTAGGGTCGCTAATGGTGGTACGTCAGTTCTCGAGGGTACCAACTAACCAGTAAAGACAGTGTTTCGGTACTGACATAACTTATCATCCACTGAAAAATAGTAACTACAAATTCTGAGAACCTTTATCTTTTGGTAGGTTGTCAGTATGGTAAGGCGGAGTAAAAAAATGTATTTTGATTGATATTGCAAACCAATGCTGCATAAAAGCAGACAACAAACTATACACACCTCTGTGTACTTGGTACACGAGTTCTTCATCTTGTAGGCTAGTCGTTGTACGAATATTGTGTTTGCATCTTTTATTCAAGTCAATACGATAGCATATTTATACAATCGTCACAGGGTACAAAATATGCATTGCATATAAAAACATACAGCTTATATATTGTTGAACATCATAAATAAAGGCAGTATAGTTCCAACTATAGGAATAAATATATATAACGTGCAACTTACAATTTTAAATGAAGTAATCTGGAGATGGGTGGTATTTATAAGCGTATCTTGTTTATTTTTATTTATCTGTCCTCCATAAAGGGAAAATTCTTAATCAAGTGAAATATAATCATATCTTTTTTGTTTAAGGCTTTAAAGAAGGCAGCTGCAGTCTTAAAATCAAAGTTTGAAAATACATTGATAGAGGCCAGTGGAGGAGTAACTGAAGAGACATTATCCCAATATTTATTACCGGAAGTAGATGTAGTTTCCCTTAGTCGCCTCACACAAGGATACGACACTGTGGACTTTTCATTGAAAATTCAGAAAGATGGAATCGACCCTACGAACAAACCAGTTGAACAAATACTGAATAAAAAATAGTTCATTTAAAGTTCGAAGTTCTTTATCCTCTATTTTATTTAAATTCGAAGTTCTTTATCCTCTGTTTCATTTTAATTTCGAGGATCTTTATATTCAGGGTAGAGCATTTATATATTGGCTCAAGTCTGTTACGTAAATAAATTAAAGATGTTAAACATTGTCAATTCCATGACATCTGGTAGATATCAAATGTGGCGATCGGAAATGATAGTTTTCAACACTTATGAAATAGTTTATTTGTATTTAACCTTTGCTTAAGTAAAACGTCGCTTTTTTACTCTCGCAAATTATAGTTTACTCAGCCACACGTGTCTTGCCTCTCAGGATAAAACAAAAGTTTCTTTACATTTTATGACAACTAAGGGATAAGAGTATTATTTCGACCCTTAAAATTGCAAAAATATTAAAATTATTTAAAAATTTTCGAAATTATTTCAATTTTAGAAATGATAAGGTTAATAAAATCTGGACACATTGGTGCAGAAAGGTTACTAATGATGTCACTATGTCATCATAAACATGTTGAAATTGACATATTTGACCAAAAGTGAAAATTTAACACATGTTTTGGACAAAATAGATATGAGCAAAGACTTTAACCAAAAAGATATTTTACCCACATTAACTTGTTTGTAAAATATATTTTGTAGGAAATTATCTTTCTGTGTAAATGACTATAATTGTTCATATTTAAATATTAATGACAAGATCTCAGAATGAGGCTACTTATTTTGGCCATTTTTGCAGTTTTGAACTAAATTCAAAAAGCCTTAATGCAAATATGTAAGGCAAAAATACAAATCTATGCATACCTGTCAGATTCAGATTCAGATTCTTTATTTCTTATAAAACCAAGTTAATGGTACAAAGAAAGATATTTTTACATATGATAACATACAGATTTTGACAAGTTTGTACACTGAAATGAACATAAAAGGTTCAACTTATTTAAAAAGCCCGGCAATTGTTTTCTATATTTTTTCATTTCCGCAAATGTTTTGGTACAAATAACCTTTTACACTTGCGTTATTGACCGTTCATATTTTAAGCTTTAAAAATCATTTCTTTGCATATAATATTCACTATAATATGGAACAATTAACCTCGGTATTATACAATTAATCCAATCAACATAGACATGATAAGAAATGTAATAAATACAACCACATTGGTTTGTAATATGTAAAAAAAAAAAGGAGAAATGTTCTGTGAGGGTCTGAAGAGGGTATTTCATTTCTGTATTCTTGTCCCTCGCGCAACGCGTTGCTGGAGACATAGAAATGCCGGGAGTCCGTCCATTCGGCCTTGTTAGCGATTTCACGTGTACAATTCTTGCCAGATTTTTATGAAACTTATACCATAGGTTTATATCATAAATGTCTCGGACAAATTCGAAAATCAGTGCCGATAAATTATTCTTAAAAGAGTTATGCCCCTTGGAAATATTGATTATATGGAAAATTGCATTGTTAGCGCTCTCATGTGTACAAATCTTGCCAGAATTTTATGAAACACATACCATAGGTTTATATCAGCAATGTCTTTGACACTTTTGAAAATCAGTGCTGATCAAATATTTTTAACGAGCTATGTCCTTGGAAATACTAATTATAACCGAAATCGCATTGTATTTGCTATGAAGCCTTCATTTTTCTAAGATATTTATAAAAGTTTTAAAGAACAAAAAAAAAAGTTTTTTTAGTTATTGCCCTTGTACCTTGGATAGATAAAGTATGTTCAACGCGGGGGGACATTGGAACTCTGTTCTTTTATTTGGCTATATATTTTCTCTATTCATTCAAAACGATTATTCTATGAAATGAAACAGGTTCGCCCCTTACGATCATTTTGACACTTCCTACTATGATCAAGTTTCATGTAAAGAAAGTGTACAATTTTGTCTATCTGTTCATAATTTATTTATGTATGCAATATTTCTTTTTAACTTATTATTTATTTTTACACAGTATTTTTTATATTTTAAGACCTCATTATTCTCTAAAATAAATTATCCATTATTTCCTATTCCGTGAAACTAAATTCAGTCCTCAAATTTGTAGCTAAGCTGTTCAATTGGTTGTAAATTTTTGTCAGGTTCTTGTTTGTTCTAACAATATAATGTACTGAACCTCGTCAGTGGTTGTCTCTTGTTCATATCTTGATGTTTTTAGAGAATTCTATCTGCAATAGTCTCTGTTAACAACTCACACATCTTCTTGATTCAGATAATGTTGTATAAACAAACATGTGGATGATTCATGTAGTTGGGTTGCTGTCTCACTGACGTCATGTGTATGCATTGAGAGTATAGTAGAATGTGTTTCAAACAAATTATGTGTTAAATGTATCTGAAACATAATCATGACTCTATTTACTATTACAGCCAAAAACGTTAAATTTTGCCTGAGGGAAGTGGAACTTAAATTACATAATGTTATGGACTGGAATTGTCGCTTGGTTTGGCGTTAAAGACATTCTCTGTTGGAGTGTCATGTCATTCATTCTGTTAAATCCTTTAGTAATTCTATTATTTTTTTTCAGACTTTATTTCGTTCTGTTATTCCCCAAGGGGACGATGCGCTTCAGATGGAAACAAATTTTTTGACAGTCATCATTATAGATGATGATAAATGATGGAACAAAAGTTATAAAAAATGACTATTTTTGTTTTCTCGAAACGTTCTTATTAGAGAATAATGTATTTTGTCATGAACATTGTTGAAAGGAGATACGTACCATGTAGTTATATATTTGTACGTAATCAATAAGTAAGGAAGGAGGTTTTGACGTTAATCAAAAGCGAACTCAAGTAATATTTATAATATGATGTTTGCATTGTATTGGTTAGTTAAAGAAGACTTGTGCTCCTCGATAACGATAGTGTTTACTTCAATTTGTTTCGGTCAACAAGACTTTGCGCTCACGATGACTTTGATAGCCTCAAAAACTAACGTTTTTCTTTTCTTCGTTATATTTGGAAGGCATTCATTTCTGATAGTTTGTGCTCAGGAAATTCAATGTGATATGAAAAATATCAACAATGTTGTAACGACGTCCAGTCATTTACAGGCAAACCTTTTAGACAGTTTTGGTCTTTCATTTGTATTATACATCTACAATAAACAAAACGAGAGTTGGAAATTGACAGATATCTGGAATATTGAATTCAGTGATTTAAATTGTTCCAGAAGTTTTAATTCTGTAAACTCAAGTGGTATGTTGAATACGCTTCAAAATACTAAGTGTCAAAATAGTACTTTGTTCAAAAGGGCATTATGTGACTCTTCTGATATTAATGACGTTCATTTTATCGACGCAAAATTTCCGTACTTCTCCGGAATAAATGTCAGTTTCAGTGATGAGTATTGTACAGATTCGTTCAGGAAATTTATAGAACGTAATCGTCACACTATACCGAAAAGAAACATGGCTGATTTTCTGAAAGACTTTAACAGTTGTATGCGTCACATAAAATTTTTGGACCAGTATGTTTATTCTTACGAGCGACAACATGGAAATGGTCTCTTAGAAATTGGAAACGAGGTTACAGAAGATAATCAGGTCCTCTTTGAGTTTCACAGCAAAAGTTGTATGTTGAAGTTTTTGGATTTCGTCCATTCGTATGGACATTTGGTTACAGGAATAAGAGAGAAACACCTAATCAGCTTAAGAATGATGAATGATTTCACTAAAAAGCATGGTTGTGTAGAAGTTCGATTACCCTGCTATGGTACGCCTTATAAACTTATACAATTTGGGATACCGCGCAAAAGTATAACATACATTTCTATAGCGCTAACCATAATAGTTATCACAGTGAATGCATTTGTTGTCATCACATTTCTACAGAAAAAACACAGGTCACCTTTAACAGTTCTATTGTCCGCTCTGGCTATTTCCGACACATTTACAGCTGTGATGATTACATCACCAGATTTCATTGCTCATATGTTTGACTATAACCACATAGTTTATTTCGGTGAAATATATTGGCACTGGTACATTTTTGATTACTGGAAATTTCTGGTGGTGCATACAGTTGAAAGTTTGACATTTACATTCCACATTGTGTCCGTTTTAATTACAACTTTGTTGTGCTTACTAAAATCCGTATCACTTCAGTTCCCGCTATGGACAAAAACACATGTCAACAACAAGTTATGTTTTGGTTTGTCGATTGCATTTTCAATCTACTCTCTGTTGTTACATGTGCCTTTGATTGCAAGTAATTTTTATATAACTTATGATATAAACGGTGTTCCTTGCATAGATTTGCAGAGTGAAATATATAAAAATCATGAACAAATTGCCGCAACTGTTAATTCAGTTATAGGCATTACATATTTGGTGGCAGTCATTTTGATTATAACAAGTACCGTATATTTATCATGGAAGTTGATATACCACAGCAAAAATATATCGTGTACCGAAAGCGAATTATCTCAAAAGAAACAACACCGGTCTGCGGTCGTAGTAGTCATTGTTTGTGTTATTTTTATATTATCTGAATTTATATCAATACTCGAGACGATAGCGTATATAACAAAATTGTCCAATTTTTACAACAATAGAGAAGTTCTATTTCAAGTTGCAGACATTAGCTGGATATTGGGATTTGCTTTGAATTTTTTCGTATACCTTGTTATGGGTCAATTGTTGAGAAAGAAACTTGTAAATGTTGTTAAAAGAATAATAAGATACAAAGGTGGAAAATATTGATTTTGCAGTGATGTGTATACTGATTTGGAAACACATTATTGGTTAAAACATATTTTTAACAATTTAATATCATTCTTGTTTCGTTATTATTTAATTGGTCAGAATTGATTTTAATGAAATATTCTTTTGTAGTAAATAATGACTTTATTTGCACTTATTCATTGTTGTTGTTGTTGTTGTTGTTCCTCTTCCTCCTCCTCCTTCATAATTTTTTCTTTTTCTTAACATAACATTATTATCGTTTTTACATATAAACGAAAATGTCCGTCTAAATATATTTATTAAATCATA